TTCTTTTTAGCATTATTATTATTTGTATTACAATGTACATTTTACTATTCTTTACTTAAAAAGATGATACATCCAGTAACGTTGTCTCTGTTTTACAAATGCAGAACATACCAAGTTGTACATTCTAAATAATCTATTTAACTCAGTTAATATAAGAGTGAATTGACCTATTATCAAATTTAGAAGTAAGAAAATTATCTAGTGAACCTCATAGGTTTTTTTTTAAATTTTAAAGCAAGTTATGAACATTTTAAAATTGTAAATTGTTTGTGCATTTTAAAACACTCATAACTTGCTTTAAAATTAAAATATAAAACATCTCTATAAGGTTCAGTAGATAATATTTCTTAATTTGATAATAGTTTAATTCATTCCAATGTTAATCATACTGAGTTAAGTGCATTATTCAAAACGTACAATTTGCCATGTTTCGCGTTTGTAAGACGAAGACAACGCATGAGGGTGTAGCGTCCTCTTAAATCTAAAGTGTATTACCTAATTGTATTCAAAGGGCACTGCCGGTTATTAATAAATAAATAAATAATGGATACATGTTTAAATTATCATTAAAATACCTGTATATAATGGAAAAAACAAGAATGCTGATCTGCATTTGGATAATCAGATTTAAAAGCATTCAGCAACCCAGATTCAAAATCAGTCATTATATTCGCTGGAATTATAAATGGAAATAATTCTTTGCGCTTGCTTAATAATAGAGTATATACCTCTTCAGTCTTCGATTCCATCAATGCATAAACAATCGGTATGGACTAATAAAATATTAGAAATGATTAATGCATACCTACTTAAAAATGGTTAGTTTTAATTAACAAAACTCACGTGGTTTAAAAAGTGATAAAAAGTTGACGGCTTGGTGGAGTTGAAGGCACAACTTTAAAAGTTGCGTCAGCATGCAACTCATCACTCCCAAGCATAACAATTTTCCTAATAAGTTCACTGCATGCAAAAGTTATTGAACATTTCCCGTGTGTATCTGTAACCTTATCTTGGAAGAAGGGCTGTTGAAAACATGTATAACGTTGCACATTGAAATCTAGGAAGTTTGCCAATTCGCTCAATGATGATGGTAAAACTGGCATAGTTGTTCTCCTAGCTTTTCCAGGTTAGGTTAGGTTAGGTTAACCAGGTTGCAGCAGCTGAATTTCTAATAAAATATATTTTAAATATGTAATATCATTTGAAAAGTTTAATCTTAATTAATTTCATTTTACACTTTTAGATCAATATTTTAATTTGTTTATTTGATGTATTTTCTTTATATGAGGGGTGCAAATAAATACAACACATTTGTCCTAATATTATAAATAAGTACCTAGGCATAATTTTATTATTGTAATATTTTTTATTAGTATGTCTGAAACAAATAAATAAAGCATAAAACATTAAATATGTTTAACAAGAAATTATATCAATACCTATTATGTACATAATAAAATATAATTACAGGCCAGAGCCCATAATGAAATTGCAGGTTCGATTAAAGTAATTCATGTACTTGTCATGAAATTGTCAATATTTTTTTAGAAAGAATTAAAAAATTAATTTTACATAATTATAAAATTAAATGCACAATTTTTATTTGTATTTTATGTCATAATTATAACCACCCAGCTCCCTAAAATATATTTATAGTATTATGGCTATGTTAGTCTTGCTAGCTTGAATAAATTGACAAAATTTGCCCATAGTGAAAATAATTTGTATATACACCACTGACTGTAGGTATATATTGTTAACTAGTTTTTGTCTAATACTGCTAACTAAAGATTTACCACCACCGACTTATGTATGGCAAATAATTATATCAAATTACAACTTTTCCAGATAAAAAAGAACAATCTTCTTTGCTCAAATAATCTTTGGGATGATATAAATTATATAAATTATAACTTATAAGTAATATTTAGTTTCATGTTTACCTAATCATTTCTTCATCATTATATTGTCCGGAGTCTTGTCTCGTTTTTAGAACGGTCTTTCAGTATTTGCCTAAATGCTTTTTTTAAAATGTGATTGTGGTCTTGTTCATCAGGGACCAGGGTCATGCGTATGTTTCTCCAACTCAACAATTGTCCCATTCGCAAATATTTTAGCAGAGCCTTTGCAATATTTGGTTTTGCAGATCAAATATCTGTTTAATATTAAAATATAAAATCATAACAATTGAATACAATATTATGATGATTTAGTTTTTATTTTATTTAAACTTACCGAACACTCTTATTTTTATGGATGCCTCCATTATTTTTATATACAAAACCTTTGTGATCCATATTTAATTAATTTAAAACACAATATATAGATATAAAAGTTAACAAACTGAATAAAATATAAACTAATTAAAACAGTTACAGCAACTAATAACTACTTATTCAGATATAATAGGACTGAATAATATCCTTTATTGAGTAGTTCATTGGTGCTCAGATGAGTGACTTTATGTGGGTTTGAAGATTAACAAATTCCAGAAACTTATAAAGTGCTCTTTGTGTTTTGTATGTTTTGGGAAACCAGGCTTTCAATAAAATGTTTCTTTCTTGGGTCGGGCCACACTGCGGTATTTTCGCCGTTGAGGCCGAACGGTTTTACCGCCGGCGTTTGAAAAACCGTTCGAGTGGCTGCGCCACACTAGGGCGGCAAAACCGTTTGGCGTTTCCATTTTTTTCGTTTTATTCCCATTTGGAATTTGGTGATGTGCACACGTAATTTTGTTCATTTATTCATAAACTGAAGAATCTAAATATCTTATAACCTAGAAATATATAATTATTTCTTTTCAATCTCCATTATTAAGCACTCCACGTCAATCATTATTATGTAGTATGTAAAAAATGCACAAGGGTAAAAAAAATTAACAAATTTTATTCACGGAAATCGAATACACAATTTGGTTCAAACCGTTGGACGGGCACCGCAGTGTGACACATGTCAATTTAATGACCATTAGCGTAATTCCATTAAATTTCAGCAGGTGCACAACTTTTATTGGTCCAATATTCATAATGACAAATTAAAATGCTCATATTTAAAACTGTTTTGCTTGCATAGTTGCATACAATACTATATGGACTAGGTATCTTTTTATATTTGATAATAATATAACATATAATATAAAATATCAAATTAAAATATCAAAATCTGTAGGTATATTTTAAACCTGGGCTTGAAACCGATATTGGATACTGATTTTGAATAATAGTTGAAACCGTGAAAACCCTAAATCGATATCAAAACTGAAAACGAAATCAAAAATACCAGTTAGGAAATCGGAAAAAAATAAATAGGTACCGATATCCAAAACCAAAATCTAAATTTAGTCTTTATAATATTATGATATATTATGATACAGTGACACACCTTTCAGCTACCTATATAATGAATTAGAGATCACGAAATTATTATACAAGTTATAACATTAAGTATTTTATTATTTGTACAAGTTACCTATATGTAAATATGTTATAGCTTTTATAACAGTGTTTCCCAACCGGAGGTCCGTGGGCCAGTCATAGGTGGTCCGCGGTACCTTTCTTAGTTTTCTATTAAAAATTATTTTTTTTTTTAAACAGCGAAAAATATTTTATTTTACCGTAATATACGGTTATCTTATCGTATACAAAAATCACACTAATTAAATTATTAGTAAAGTTTAATAATAATATATAATAGTACAGTAAAATAATAAAAATTTTCCAATAAATTTTTGGGTATTCTTGTTAATGAGCAAAAAAAAAAAAGGTCTTCCTAGTTTGCGTAAAATTGAGGTGGTCCGCGACCTATAAAATATTATCAAAGTGGTCCGTGGTGGTAAAAAGGTTGGGAAACACTGTTTTATAAGAAAATTCGAAAAATCAATAAGTATATAATATATAATATGTATGATGTATTTCATATTATGAAATAGTAGGTACCTATTGTAATTTAATAGGTATACAGTTCAGCTTCTGCGGGTGCAAAAGAACATCTTTGCACCTCCTACATAATACAAGGGGGTTATTAATAATGACAAAAACATGTAAGACAATATAATATTTGTTCGAAATTTTTTATACTTTTCATCAATTAAAAATATTTACACACATTTTATAGTTTTCGTCTTATTAATATATAATTTATATCCACCCCAGAAACTTTTTTCAAAAAAATTGCTGTAATTAAATTCTCGTAAGGATTTAACTATAAAATATTTTAAGATTATAAAATAAAAAAAGGTAGGCAAGTTGATGTCGCTCTGCTGTACTGTAGGTTACAGGTGGGCCACTGTATAATGTATGGTATTAAAATATTAAATTTGAATTCAATGATATAATATCATTGGATAAGAAAAACGATTCTGAGCGGAGACGATATGTCAGTCTAGGTATTAGACATAAATAATAAAAAATTGATCTATAATAAATTCCAAAATAATCATATTACAATATTCATTACTCATTAGTCATTAGGTACTTATAAGTTATAACGCGTTATACATCAACAACAAACAGTGATACTATCATATATATAATAATTATAATAGTATACTTGAGAAGTTTCAAGTACCCACCAGGGGCGTAATTAGGGTGGATAAGGGGATAGATCCTCCCAAAACTTGTTTTTTAATTTTTAAATTTTTGATCAAAGTATTGATAATGACCATTCATCAAGGCTGTATTTACAATTTTTCCGCCCTTTATAGACACATTTTAATATTTTACTAATATAGCGTTAATTGGGAGAAAAATAAAATTATTATGCTAAAAGCCTAAAATATACAAATATTAACACAGAATAATGAATATAAAATAATATTCCACGGGGTGCCGCCACTGGGTGACTTTCCCCTCCTGTAAACCTAATCTTCATCACATTTACTTATTGTATCACATGTAAATACAGATTGTAAATATATTATGTTTTTTCAATAAAAAAAAAAAAAAAATAATAATATTCTATATGATTAATTATGAACTTTATTATATTAATATTAGTAACAATTACATTTTTCTACGAGCTTTTAACTCACTAAACTTATTTATAATATCATCATAATTTATATTAACTGTTAATTCTGACTCTATATTTAGTATTGCTAGATCATTCAGACGATCATCTTTGGTACTAGATCTTAAGTAAGTTTTAATCCTCTTCAAAGCACTAAAACTTCTCTCTGCTGAGCAGTTTGAAGCTGGACAACATAAAAACATTCTTAAAGCAATGCTAATATATGGATTATGGAAAGACATCCTGTAAATCACTTTCTATTATTTTCTGCAACATTCCTAAAATGGTTTTAGGAGCATTGTCTTTTGGTAAATACATTCATTTGAGAATGATATAGGAAGATGTTTAGAGTAATATTTTTGTAAAACTGCTGATTGATGTCTGAATGGCATTCATGTTTGCTAAAAACGTATATCCTCCCCAACCAAATTCCTAATTACGCCACTGGTACCCACAAATAATATTATACAATCACAACAAAATAACTAAAATAGTTATTCTAGGGTTTTTAATATGTAATATCATCCAAATTTGAACTTAAAATAACTATAAAAATAAACAGTGCATATATATTTTTTAGATTTTTTGATAACAGAATTAACTACTTACCTACGTGGAATCTTGTTGGACATTTTCAATCCTTCCAGGGCTTGAAACCGAAAAAATTTTTTCCGGTTTCGGTTTCGATTTCGGATACCGGTTTTGATTTTTTCCGATTTCGGTTTCGGTTTCGGATACCGGTGTCGATTTTTTCCGATTTCGGTTTCGGTTTCGGATACCGGTATTGACTTTTTTCGATTTCGGTTTCGGTTTCGGATACCGGTATTGACTTTTTTCGATTTCGGTTTCGGTTTCGGATACCGGTATCGATTTTTTCCGATTTCGGTTTCGGTTTCGGTTTCGGATACCGGTATTCATTTTTTCCGTTTTGATTTCGGTTTTTAACGGTTTTAATCGGTATTCAAAATCAGTATCGAATATCGATTATAATCCCTGTATTTATAATAATTTATAATGACATAAAATACTGGCGTAGGAACCTACTCGCCAATCGCCAAACATTGCGTGGCGTACGATTTAGCGTCTGGTTGCCTGACAAGTACTATAGTATTTGCAATCAATGATAATATTTACACTGGAATGAATACGTAATTATGACGTATTTAGTTATAGGCAGCCTCACTACTTCATAACACATTTTCCAAATGATTTGCGACCTAATTTTTTAAGAGTTTGTGTAACTTCATCGTTTATAAGTTGAAACTATTTTCTCAATGAGGGGCTAACTTCATGTGTGTCCCACCCACCACATTAATCAATTTGATCACAGCTTGATTATATTATACCAATCTAGATTAGGTATATTAATCCAATAGAGTACCTATGGTTGATGGTGGGTTGGTAGGGAGCACATTTTTCAGTCGACGGCTTTTAGGGAAACCCAGACAATATTATGTTAAGGCCTTATAATGTATTATAATAAATTATTTATAACTATACTATAATTATTGACTCAGTATTTCATAATTTATTGTTGGCTATTGTGTTAATTTAATGTAGGAAAATTATTCCACATAGTTATTTCTGTCTTCTGATCGTCTGTGGCGGCAGAAAAACACGACAGCTTATAATATAGTAAATAATAATAGTATTATTGTTATACAATTTTTATTATAGCGTATTTCTGCGTATACTGTTTTAGAATACGATTAACCCATTTACCAAAATAATATATAATTTATAAATATAATAATTATTATATTTCGTATAATAATAATATTATATTATGCGTCTAATAATTTATATACCCTGTGAAATTACCTATGCAAACATACGGGTGCCCGCAGACGAAGACTACTGCACCAGTGCAGCTAGACTTACTTACATAATAATATATAATTATATTATAAAATATTAATTATAATAATATAATATATTAGGCACCATTAATCATTATTAATATCAATTGTATTACCGCAGAACTCAGAAAGTATACATAATAATATAAATATTAAAATATCTATATAGGTAGGTACTTTCGAGTTAATATTTTAGAATCCAGTAAAAAACTAAGTAAAACTAAGAAAAAAAAAGAAGGCATAGCACATGACCTAGGCTATAGGTCTAATAAATGGACCAAATTAATAATTTTTAATAATATTATTATAAACGCGCCATGGAAACGGCAATATAAATATTATAAACTATTAAAATAAATAATAATTTATAATATTTATATGATAATTTATAAAAACTAATAATATACCAACAAAAATACTATGTCAACTCCATGTAAAAAAAATGTAATTTAATTTAATTCTTCTTTTTGCGCACGGAGTAAACAATTACCCCAGACGTATTAATACAGTATATTAATAATTTAATATGATAATTTATAAAAGACTAATGAACTTTAACGTAGCATAGTTATTTTTTATTTAAGGATAACTTAACTTTAACTAGTTAAAAAAATTGGTTAACTTGCCCAGCTTTGCCATCATCCACATGATGTTATAATAAATAATAATATCTTATAAGTTATAATATTATATTTAATATTGATCGCATTGTATGATAGAAGGATAGAACAAATTTACATAATATACACGATATTTATTATTTTCTACCATAAGCATTATAAATTATATTATTCATAGCTTTTAAACAGAAATTCAATTATAGCCTATAGGTTTATTTTAAATGCGTAGAACTTTTTAAATGTTAGATATTAATGTTATAATTTTTCGACTTCCGTTTCGGATATCATGTTATTTCTTAAGATTTCGTCTTAAGTTTCAAAAAACGGTATTATTTTTTCCGATTTCGATTTCGGTTTCAGATATCGGTATTTATGTTTTCCGATTTCGGTTTCGGTTTTGGATATCGGTATTTATGTTTTCCGATTTCGGTTTTGGTTTCGGATACCGGTATTTATTTTTTCCGATTTCGGTTTCGGTTTTGGAAACCGGTATTGATTTTTTCCGTTTTCGGTTTCGGTTTCAGATACCGGTATCAATTTTTTCCGATTTCGGTTTCGGTTTTGGATACCGGTATTATTTTTTTCCGATTTCGGTTTCGGTTTCGATTTCGGTTTCGGTTTTTAACGGTTTAAACCGGTATTCAAAACCGGTATCGAAAATCGGTTTCAAGCCCTGAATCCTTCGGTATAAAAGTTGAACATTTTCTACATTTTTTACAACAAAATAATTATTCAATTTTAAATTTGATAAAGGTTGTCAAAATTCGATCTTTAAAGAGGATGTACTAGCACTATTTGTTTTTTCTCTCTGGCCCACGCGCAGCATAGATGAAACGCATGAACGCAGAATCATTTTTTCTATGTTTTAAAGTAATCTTAGAGTAAAATTAACCATTACAAAGAAGATAGAGAATAACATTTTTGAGGGAATGTCATATCTATTTTATATTTTATTGTTATTTGACTTTGTATTCGACTTTCAAAATAAACAAAAAAATGTTGTACATTAAAATGATGTTTGAATTGTTTTGAGAAAATATTTAGACAAATCGATATGACATTCCCTCAAAAATATTATTCTCTGTCTTTTTTATAATGGATGATTTTACTCTAGGATTACTTAAAAACATAGAAAAAATGTTTCTGCGTAAATGCGTTTCATCTATGTTGCGAGTGGGTCAGAGAAAGAAAACAAATAGTGTGCTGGCATCCTCTTAATGCTTACAAAAAACTTGTGCCTATCTATTTTTAATATTTTTCAACTGCTATTGTAACAATATATCAGAAGCCCTGTATTACATTTTTACACTTTTTTACCTAACAAATAAAGTTTTATTGACATTCATAGAAAAAAAACCTAAAAAGTTGGAAACTGAGTAAATTCGTAAACAGCTCAAAACAAATCAACATCTTTTCATGTACAGAAAAGGCTAATATAAACATTCATTGAAAATTTCATGTATTTACGATCATTTGTTTTAGAGTTACACAAAAAGCCAAAATCGATTTTATCAAAAACCGATCTTGCGTAAAAATTCCCATTTTTCCTTGATTTTTATTTTGTTTTTACGGGCGCTTTTCACTTTCTCACCAGAAATTGAAAATCGAAACATTATTTCGACTACTTATCGTATACACAGACACTCACAAAAAGAACACACATCAATGTATAATCAATACATTCATGGCTCCGCTCAGAATCTAAAATTAATGGACAATGGTTAACTATTATCACAGTTCAAAGATAAAACCAATAAAAACTTACCACTTACGACTTGATATCATATTTATCCATCTAAAACAGTAAAACGTACCTATATCTTCATAGTATGAAGTATAAACACAAAATAATTTAAAGTAAATTGAAACTGTTAATATTGTTAATAATTATTATTTATTTAAAATAAACAATTATAAGGCCTGGGATTTTAATCATAGATAATAAAGATGTTTATTATCTATGATTTTAATGCACTAAAAAATGCACTAAGTATTTTTTTTTATAATTTTGTTATAAATTTGTTACATTTAAATTATAGTATACATTTTAAAAAATGGTTAAAAATTTTACTAGCTTTTATACATTTCCATACATTTTTATTTTATTATTTTTATATAGGTTTAGACAACATTTTATTTACCTGTACAGTGTACATATTATAGTGTCCTAGTTCGGGCTAGTTAAAGTTTGTTAAATTTACATAAAAAAGCGTGTAAGAGCATGTAAACATTTTAAAATTCAAATTTTGGATTTAAATACCTTAAAAATCTGAAAACATCAAGCAAATGTAAATTAAAACTTCTTATTTTGATTCAAAAATGCATGTCACGTGTATGTTATAAAACGAGGGCACGAGCATCGCGTGGCTAGAAGCCTGAAAAAAAATTCAAAGTGCATCGAAATCCTAGCCAAATTATTATAATAAAATATTATGATCTATGCAATTTAACGAACAATAGGGGGTGTGGGGGTATAGCCCCGCCAACATTATTGCTATTATAAAGACTTAAATCTCATCTCAGAACCAATCCCTAATTACGCCACTGGACCCAAGTGAAATTTGTTTAACATAATTACTAATTAGTATATTTATTCAATTTAACATCATGAATTCGGTACATATAATAGGTATCGTATATTAAGCAACAATTTATAATTTATTACATTGAATAAGTTTATATAACCTTACTTAGGTACCTATACTGATAATTATTTTTAAATTATTTATTAGTTATTTCTTATTGCAATAATAATATGCATTGCTATACTAATATTATAGTAGGTACGTAATCACAATAACGAAAAAGTACTGGTACAGTGGTAGTGTGGTTGTGGTACCTTGTTGTTGATTGAATTTCAAACTTACTAAAAAAATTAGTCGCTAAATTGCCTATACTTATCCCCTTAAAACGTAATGTTTTAAGGGATTTGGTATAGGTAATATCAATACAAAATTTAACAATTTAACAATTTATTACAATACAATTATTTATTAATCTATTTAAAGTAACTTACGAATGAGTTGACATATTAATTGTTTTAACTGCTTCAAGATTACAAGACATAGTTTAGTGATAAAATATTTAAAATTTTGTATATAAATTTAAAAATTTTTATCATTAGGAGGTACTATAGTTACTAAATATTATATTCTCGTATTTATATTAAATTGTATAGGATAAAGCAAAGTAATAATAACTGGCAAAATACAATCATAATTTATAAGCAGCATTGACATTTCGTGTTTCTGTTCCTAATAATAAAAAAAATTAAATTTAATCTTTTCGATTTGTGGTTTGTAGTTCTGTGTAGTTCAATATTCAGTCGGTTACTTCGAAGTTCAAGGCACCTATGAAAATATAACCAGTTAATTATAAACTTTTTATTAAGATATTATGTAAAAATCTAAAATTATGACTTCATATATAATTATTATTTTACACTCACAAAACAACATATAAATCTTAATATTTTACTAATACAGCCGGACTTGATTAACTGGAAGGTAAAGTGAGTAGGGACCAGCCTAAAAGTTCGAGTTATTCTTGGATAATTTACAATAGGAAATTCTAGGGATTTGGAAAAAGTTTGAGGTATCAACGATTTCGAGTCAACCAAGTTTATAATATATAGTATAGGTATAATATATTATAGGTTTGATATCAGTGATGAATAAAAATAAACATTTTTTTTTTTTTTTCATTTATTCAAATTAATTGTTTCAATGCACTTAGTATTATTACAATGTAGCTTAAATTAACAAAATGTGTGTATGTATAATATATTTAATATAAATTTTAATATTAGCTATTAGCTTATCTAACTATGGTAGGTACATAGGCGCAAATTGACTAAATTTTTTGGGGGGACTCAAGCCCCCATCCACAAAGGTCTTAATATAAGTAAAACAAATGTTGGAGGGAAACGCTCTCCATAAAATCCCCCACCCACTGAGCAACTATCGTTACGGAAATATAAAAATACAAAGTATTACATTTTTAGAATATATTTATTTTAACAAAATTCTCCGTTCTTTTTCGGCAAATACATTTAAAATATCTTCTGTATTTATATTATTAGATAAATCCCTTATTCCAATAAATATTAAAATATAACCTAACAAGTAAGTAATAAACATATATCTTAGTCCGTGGACCGTGGTAACAAATAATAATTATTAATGATAACAAAATGCTCCGTTCAAAAATTGGCGCGTAAACCGTCGATTGTGGAGGTCAACAGCAACCACGGCATTATTCTTTGACTATAGATACTATAGCCGTGATCGTGAGTCGTGACACTGCCCTCATAATTTATCACTAGGGCTCGGATTTAAATGCCCTAAAAATATCAAAAAAATGCCCTTTCAAAAAATGCATTTATGACCTAAAAACTCTAAAAAATGCCCTAATAATATCAAAAAATGACGTTTCAAAAAATGCATTATTTATTAAATAAATTCAAATTTAATTATTATTAAAAAATGAGGAACAAAGTAAGTACCTTCGACGTAATACGCAACACGACTGAAAGCGTCCGACAATCGGCCACGCGCACCACCGATATAATATTATGGCTCGATAAGAAAATAATCTGATAATATCGGCTAATTGGATGGTGTGACATAAAGGTTGTAAAAACCGGAAAACCTGATGTTAAATTAGTTAAAATAGTTCAAAATGAAAATAATTTTTATTACGTAGTACTATATTACTATGTAGTACTTATATTTCAATGAGGTCAATTTTTTTAGTCATAATACGACAAATAGGTCAAAAATGTCCTAAAAAATTAAAAAATGCATTTAAACCGTCAAAAAATGCAAAAAAAAACAAAAAAATGCCCCAAAAAATTATTATGGTTGGATTGCGAAGTACTTGAAACATATTTGTAGCTTGGAAAGCATCGCGTAAGATATCCCAAAAAAAAGATGCAAATGCATTGAAATCCGAGCCCTATTTATCACCTATAAATTACTTATCGGTTATCAATTATCTGTTTGACCACGAGGCACGGACTAAGATAATATGTTATAGGATTTTTTATAAAGATTTTTTTTTTTTTTTTTATTTTTAAAAGAAATATACCATCTGTACCCAGAGACACAATAAGTATATGGGCTAATTTATGAAAGGCGTGAATGATTTGTTGGAAGAAGCCACCCAGTAGTGACACTTCCTATTGGCTTTTATTTTTATTTATTTATATTTTTTTTTTTTTTTTTTTTATTGGTTATTAGTTAAGGAGATCTCGTTAGGATTAAGTTAGATGATTTTTTGGACCATTATCATTAATTGTAAAACTAGGAGGGACTTATTTGTAACAGAATTATTCATTTTTCCTAGCCAATAGACTTGAGATTACTTGAGTAAGTAATGAGATTAACGGATTGATAAGAGTCTTAAGCTCGCTTACAAAGCTTGACATTAAAGAATTAATATCAGGAGTTGGCGGAGGAATATCAGATTTTACATGTTGGCCTTGAGTTGCCTGGTCATACGTTTGAGATTGGTCAGAAGGAGGATTGTAGGAAGTGGTATTACGTGGGTGGCTATCTTGTACATTGTTAGACTTATAACTAGAGTTTACATGTAATTTGTGATTATTTAGGTTGGTTTTCTTACGTTGCTGGAGGTCTTTATAAACTGTACATCCCCTGTAGTTTGCTGGGTGGTTACCTGTGCAGAGGGCGCATCGCATTGGGTCTTGTCGTGAGTTTGGACAGGCAGATGAGGAGTGGTCATCACCGCACCGGACACAGCGAGTACTATATCCGCAGTAGGCTTTAGTGTGACCATAAGCTTGGCAGTTATGACATTGGCTGATAATTTTTGGTTTATGAGGTTCTTCTATTTTAATTTTTGTGTGCAGTAAGGATTCAAGTTTAAAGATTTCATTTGAATGATCTGTCGGCTCGAGGTCGACAAAAAATAATGGCAGGGGTATTTTACTAATTCTGTGAATAACCTGCGTAACTTGTCTAACTTCGTATAGGCGATGTTCAAGTTCACTTTTGATCAATTCCGTTGAAGTAGATGGGTGTAAGTTACGAATAACTATGCGCATTGGCTTATCTTCCTTTAGCTGGAATGTATGGAATTCAGCATGTTCATTTCTTAAGTATTGGACTAATGTTCTATATGCTCCGGGATTGGAGGTTTGGATTTTTAAATGATCAGCCGTTGACTTGCAAATAAAGTTATCGACACCGATTAATTCGATTAATTCTGTACAAACACCGGGGAAGTCTAATACGCCTCGCATGAAGATTGGAGGGGGTGGTTTAGAGTAAGTGAGAACTGGATCAGCAGACTGCTTTTCCTCTATAATAGTTTCAGTAATTTCATCAGCTGGTTCGGTTGATTTTAATAATTCAAACCGATTTTGAGTCACAAATAATTTTTTGCTTACATGTTGAAGTAAATTTGGTGACGATGGTTCTGAATTGGACGAGCTTGAGAGATTACGTTTATTATCATTATTGGCAGGTTTCTTCGGTGGCTTGGATTTAATTACAATTGCATTTTTAGTCTTGTTATTATTATTTGTATTATTTTGTTTACGGTTATCCATATTTAAATGTTTACTGTGTTGATAGATAAGTTTTTACGGACTACGAAATCGATTAATTAAAGTCGAGTACGTAGATTATAATATTAATATCTAATATTGTCGTAATCGCGTGGACAAAGGTCACCGCCGGGCGATGCCTTGAAGTGTGATTAGGTATATTATAAAACCATGCACGTATACTTAGTAAACTTAAATCTATTTCCACAAATGAAGGTTGATTTTTGCAGCTGGTAGACACTGGGGTCAACAGCTTCATAAAAAACTGCGTCGATTGATATAAAGTACGAAAATTTCCGACAAGTTTAAACGACACTACTTTAAACATAACACGGAGGCATAAAAACGTGTGCATTCAGCTTGGCTGTCCGCGTGTGACTGAATAAAGATTTAAAAAAAAAAAAAACTAGCATAAGTAATAATAATTTTTTAATTGTATTTTGTAATTTGGTTAAGTTTTTAAAATATATACATGTTTAGTACTACAGAATATAATAATTAGTACTAATTACTAGATTTTGAACTGGGGGGACTTGACCGAAATCTGGGGGGACTAAGTCCCCCCAAGCCCCCCCCCCCCTATTTGCGCCAATGGGTAGGTATATCGTATATTATGTGATAGGTTTTAATTGTAGGTATTAATGTATAGGTTTAATCAGGAATCCGGACAAATGTAGTTACGGGGAAATATTGCCTTTGGAAATGAGAGTATTTAGTACTGTGGAGAGTAGGGAGATAAGAGGATTAATTAATGAGCTTAAATTAGATATAAACATGGTGCAGGTGTCGGTGAATTTTTCTGTAAGTGTGTTTTGTTGTTGTTGGTGGCTTCTGCGTAAGATTTTGTTGTGGAGTGAGCTTTGAATTCAGGGCGCTTAGTTGGAGGAATTTTTGGTGCAGGTTTTTGAGAAGCTGCCTTGTATACTGGACATCCCTTAAAGTTGGCAGTGTGGTCCGCACTGCATAGGGCGCATTTGGCTGGGCTGTTGCAGTCTTTGGAACAGTCTTCCGTCGGGTGATTTTCACCGCATTTGACGCATCTAGGTTTATGACTGCAACCGTTTTTCGTGTGTCCGTATAATTGGCAGTTGTGACATTGCGGAGGGCTACGCTTTTTGTGCGGTTTCTCGATCTTAACTTTGGTGTTGAGTAGTGATGTGATGTCGTGAATGTCTTTATTGTTGTCCTGTGGTAGGACATCCACAAAGAATAGTGGAAGGGGGGATTTGCTTTTATTTTTGTCGTTATACACGTTTTTTACTTGGTGACCTAACTCGTTCAGAGCGTTTATGATGTCGTGTTTAGTGTGAATGGTGCAGGTTTCCTAATTGCGACTCTGTAGGTGCGGAGGTGACGGGGGGTATATGAGTGGAAGCTGATTTCCGTATCATGTAGGTAGTCAATGATTGTATTGTAATTTATACGACTTGATGGTATAACCTTAAGGTTATAAGGTTAATTGGAGGTTGTTGATGTTGCCCTGCAGGACGCAGGTGAAACCTTCCGGGCTGGTGATATTGGTTAGGGCGTTTTTGAAAGCGGAAAGTTGTTTATGTTTTTAATAACTTTAGGCGGAATGACCATTTTTCTGACCTGAACTGTGTGAGGCTGGTTCGCTGGAGTAGCATCCAACGAGTTGGATGCGGACGTGGCTGCTGCTTCTTGGTCGTCGGGGTCATTAGTGGCGAGTGCGGCAAAACGATTTGGTGTTATAAAAAGAAAAACTTTTGACTTTTTGTCAGTTTGACTCGGCGACAGCGACGAACTGGACAAATTTCTTTTTGACTGATTAGGCGTGTGTGGCGTAGCGAGGCCCGCATTACGGGCGCAGTTGTTCATTATATGGTTATAATAAAAACAAATAATTATAGTATTCACTGTTATAATTTGGCTAGGCTGCGCACAGATATAAGGGAAGCGATACATCGAACAAGCAACTTACGTGCGTCATATCTAATTGTTGCTTGCCTGAACTGTAAAAATAAACATATACATAACTAGTTATCTACTTCTAAGCCCTTTTACCTATAATATCCAAATATAACATTTTATTTTTTCATAAATAGGGACATGTATACATCAAATGTAATTTGTATATATTTTATAACTGAACAGGAAATATGAATACTATTTCATAGTTTTTACTGTTGCCTGTATATTAAGTAAACATCAATTTAAATTTTAAACTGGAGCCCGAATAGACTCAAGTCTGTCTATACCCGTTAGGCGTTAGTGTTGCTGTTACATAATTTATACATATATAATAGACTTAGGCTTACTATGATCTAGTAGAACTTTAAGCTACATACTTAATTCTGCTTGAATATTCAGTGGCGTATATAAGAATAAAGTGCCCCAGCCCCCAGGTAAAAAATGAAGTAGCGTCACATTTGACAATCCCATTAATATTTGAAAAGTGACAACACATAATATTATACATAGATTATAAACAATACGTCAATACATGTATTGTATAAGTGCACTAATTCATGCGTAGTCTTCAAGTCTTCCACGATACCAAAAATAAACCCCCAATAATATGTCAAATAAATAAATAGTGATCGAACAAGCAACAACCGGACACCGGTGGGTATACATGTTGACAAATGCGTATTATTCAGTGTTCTCAACTTTATAAATATTACCCACATTAAAACATTAATATTATGTTTGTTTGACCCCTTAGTTGTGCCTTGTGCCTAGTATCATGTTCAAACTGAAGTTAGAACACAAGTAATTTTTGAATTTTAAATTCCAACCATAGAGTAAGATAGAGGTGGCGTTCCCTATCAAAGCCGTGTAACAAAATTGAAGTCAAATCATCGGTCGCCAACACTTTAGAGACAGTGATATAAATGATTCATGGGTTACTGGAAATGGGAATAACAAATAAACTGTATGTATTTAATTATTTCTTTTAAAATCATTATTGTAGTTATAGTCAAAAAAGTACCTACCTGCTTATGTCTACGTATGTTTAAAAAGAGCTAAGCTGCGTAATGGTGCCATTCCTATACCAGTTAAAAATGGATCAATAAGTGTAGTAAATATAGCTAATATCATATGAATACACTGTAATTTAAATAATACCTGTTAGTCATTGACTTAATATTTATATATTTTTTTAAGAATGACAAGACTAATAACGATTGTGGTACTAGCTGTGGAAATGTACATAATGATTTACTATCTTCGATAAACAATGATCACTGTTATACAGCAATAAAACCACAGGAAAATAAAATAGTTCATGATACTGGTACAACAAACTACCTAAAAAGAGATGCACCTTTATTTAATACAGAATTAACGTCCCCAATACCTAAAAGATTAAAGGTACTGTACCTATTATAAAATTAAATAATGTTTTAATTTGTATTATTAATATCATTATTGTGTTTTTATTTCTGATTAAAAGGTAGAACAAAAAATGACATTATTTAAATCAGTTTTAAATGATATAAATATATTAAAATTAAATATACTAACAAAATGGTTTTGTGATATCGATGATACTCTACTAAAAAACAATTATAAGCAGACTATAATTTAATTTCATAAGTTGGGATCTTATACAAAAAATGTTATGCGAATGCGATGCATTGAAAAACAACTAGTTTTAAATGAAGGTAAATTGTATACAAAATATAATATAAATTATTAATATTATAAACCTATAGAAATCAAAATCTATAATATTTTCTATTTACAGAGTCCGAGTTATTTCTATATGCTTTTCACAAAAAAACATATGTTAAATAATCATTCATCTGTAACAGTAGGTTTTCCAACTCTAAATTAATATTACAACAGTAAATATCTTTACATTATATTATAATCAGAACAAGTATAGTAAAATATATAATATAAGATTCCCTTGTCAATCCAAAATAATTGGTTACTATGCTCAGAAAGCACATCAGAACAGACATATAGGAGAAAAATCGAAACGACCACACTACGCCATATGTATCGAATAAATATCCGCCCAGTAGACTACCTATAGATTCACCTGTGAAACAAAAATAATTAATTACATTTCTATATAAAGAACGAGTGCATATATTATAATAAATAATAATATAATGTCGTGGCAGTCGTGGCATATCGCAAGTACAAAAATATAGCATTAAATGTATAGGTAATACAAATACAATTATGACTAAAAAATACAGTGAAACTTGTTCTAACGGACACCTCCAAATAGCTGACGTTTTCTTAGGAACCGACTACAAGCTTCCTTCGAACTGAACCCTTTGAATATAGAGTATCCGGTATTTAGAGTTTTCACTATTTCGATTTTAATTATATATTCATTACGGTAAAAAATAATTTATGGTTAAAAAATATCGTATTTGATTACAAATACGTATTATAGGTATATCAATGCGTAGGTATAGTTGTTCACATAACAAGTTGAGGGATGTTTTCGATTTTTATTGTCCGAGAAAGCTACGGTTGCACTGGTTGCAGTATATGAAAATACTATTAAATTCAATTAGCTATAACTATTTAAAATTAAGCCTGAAAGTCAAATTTTGACTATATATAGTTTTCATCCAAAGTACAGTGTTGTACGCGTGCGTATACAAACGAATCGCTATATAACTTCCAAAATAATGATTTCTGCAACATTTTATTTGGACCACCGTTCTTAACATGTTGAAATAAGTAGGTATGTTTCAAAAAAAAAGATTATATTAATCCACCGTAAGTGGAATTAAGTAAAAACGATAAACTTAGTATAACTTTAGTCTTTGACACTCTAGAGTTAAATCATACACTTACGTACAAACAGCACGGGGTCCGGGATCCACCACAGGTAGATTGCTTACCTGATAATTAATATACTAATATAATATATATTAATATACTGCTGCGAATCAGAATTTTTATTCTGGGCAACGAAAAAGTTAAGATAAGTTTTGAACACCATACACCCAATATTAAATAACGAATTGAACAGAGTTTGAGTCATAAAGAGTTGGTACATTTAACGAGCA